GGCCCGACCCGGGAGCTTCCATGTCCGCCTGGTCCCAGCAGTCCGGCGCCGAGTCGCTGCTGCTGCTGCCGCTGCTGCTCCCGCCGCCGCCACCGCCGCCGCCACCACTGCCCGGATCCATGATCGGGGGGGCCGTGTGTGTGGTAAAGAGAGGGCGGGAAATGGAGGCGGGGGCGACCGGCTGGGGAGGAGCAGGCCGAGCTGACCCCGGGAAGCGGCAAGGCAGAAGGGCCGGAGGCTAGCGACACAATCCCCGGCGTCGTCGCGGCGGCAGCTCCAGTCCCTATCCGCACTCGCGACGACGACAGCGGCAGCGACCCAACCCTCCTCGTGTGTGCGAGCGGATCTCCTCCCACTCAACCCCAGCCACCTCCGACCGCCTCAGCGCCAACCCGACGCCTGGCGCAGATTGACCCCTTGCCACCACCCGTACCTTCGCCTTGGTAGTTCGCAGCCCCGGTGGGCCCTGTTTCCGGCTATGAAGCGCGGCAGAAGACGGAACTACGAGTTCCGGCAGCGCCCGCGCGACCCCGCTGCGGTTTTCCCGGGGGCCGACGGGAGTCGGAGTTCCGGGCCGGGAGCAACCGGAAGCGGCGCCAGCTCCCGTCAGGCAGCGCGAAGAGGCGGAGGTCTGGTCGTCGCACGGGGGCCCCACCTGTCACCGGGTGGGGGCAGGGGTAGGAGCAAGCCTTTGCGTGACTGGGCCTGGGGTCGCGGAGACCGCGAATCTCTTAGTTCGCAGGGGTCGTCGGCTCACTCCTATTCTGCCCAGGACGCGGGAAAACGGACAGCAGTTCTAACGTGGAAAGAAAAGCTTTCACCTCTTGAGAATTCTTTCCTTCTCTTTTCACCCTTCCCCTTGCGTTCCCAGCCTCGCAGTCTCCCCTCCCTGTTCGTTCTTTCCACCTTCCTCCTCCCCGGCCCCGGCCAGAATTTGCCCTACATTTCAAAGGCGACGCAGAGCGTCTTTCATATTATGTATTCATTTAGTGGAGGAGATCATAAAACCGTGAGATGTTATAACATAAACTGCAAATGTAGCTCATAAAGCGCTCGGGCCCAGGGTCTGCCGCGGCAGAGAGGATTATAAATTGGAAACTTACAATGACTCACTGTCTGTATGACTAGTCATTTGAAACCTTCACCCAAATTTTTCCATCCCTTTTTCCTCCGGGCCAAGGGCTTTGCAAATTAAACAGAGGATTGCCATATTCCATGATGTATCCAGCTGTACCCAACTAACAGGCTTATTTTTGTGCGTCCAGTTTCACTATGCAGCTTAAGGTGAAGTGGTTTTCTTCTGAATGGTCGGATTTGTTCAGGTTTTCCCATAGTAGTTTATTGACTGCATCTCGCGTTGACAAGTTGCGGTTCCGTAAACATGCAAAAGATAAATACTTAGCTCTAACTGCTTAAAGTAGGAAAATAACATTGCTCTGAGTACCTGTTAGGTGTTCTTGTAATTCACCCTTGTGGAGCCCAAGACGGAAGAAAACCTATTTTTGATATTTTTTCTGCAAAAGTCTAGACTGAGTACCACTAACCTGCTAGAAATTACAGAGTGCAGGTAGGAATACAGAGGATAGGTATTTAACAACCTTGTGTTAAGTTCTGAAATCTAGATCTAGATATGAATTTTACTTTTGAGTATCTATTTTAAAGATAAAAGAGAACTCACCCTGAGGAGATAAATCAAAAACAAAGCTGTCAGTTACCCGCTCCTCCCCCCTTTTTGGTCAGTTACCTTTTTAAAAACAAGTCCAACTCTAAAGTGGTTTGAAATTCTGTTTAATATTAAATTAGCAAATGTGATGGATGCCTTGTTTCTTTAACACATAGCACTTGGAAATTGAGCTCTGTGAGTGTAAAGAAACCAGACACCTCCAATATAACAAGGCTGGCTTTAAGTTTCTCCACGGGACTGTGGTTCATGCTCCCTGAAATTTTCTGGAGATTGATTTTTTTTTTTCACATCAGATGATGTATTCCTCTGATTAATACGAAGTTCTGGTTACAGCCTATTGATACAGTTCTCTGAAGACCCCACTGGATCTTTCTTAAGAGTGTCCCACTTTAAAGCTGGTATTAAGTGATTGCCTTCAGAGTTAGAGAATTTACCAATGATTGATGTAAAAATCAGACCTTCTTTTATATATAGGAGACTTGCATTGTTATTGAATGAGATTCACACCAAGAAGAAAACTGTCGAAAATAAAGTGCCTTCTCACTCCACTCAAGATTTGCTCTTCCCAACTTACTCCTAAGAAAGGGTCAACACAAGTTGCTGACTCAAATAGTGAACCACGCTGTCCTCCAATACTTTGTCATTGCATATGGTACTTCAAGATGTATCACCAGGCCGGCACTGGGCAATCACTCTGATAGGTTACTTCTTCACGTCTAATTAAATTAGCAGAGTGTCTTTGTGCCTGGTGCTTTTTCTAGGGACAAAGAAACTGCTAAAACTGCAGCTTTGAAAAGTTGATGTCATTTTAGCTTCCCTGTCTCTGAATAGGATAATTATGGATGTACAGGAAGAAATCCCCTCTATTGGTTTTCAAAAGCCGTGAGGGTTGAGACACTGCTCCAAGCAGGAAAGTAAAAAGCTCTTCTTGATAATTACTGTTGTGCTAAGAATGAGCAACTTGTCGTCAAAATCTTTTATTCAGCTCCTTTATATTGGCAATGCCCAGTATAATGCCTAACACGGGAAGCATGCTTAAATGTTTAAGGAATGAATAGGTGAATCAGTATGGAGTTTGCGTCAATACTGCCCTTTGATACTCATTTAGGGCTGTTGAGGCACAGGACTGTCAACTTTAAGGTAGTTTTCCAAGGACGTCCTGCTATTCCTTGTGATGTGCACACAAGGTTAGCTTGACAACAGCTTTACTTCGCAAAGCTATGCTTGTTCAAGGTCTGAGCTATTTCTGCACAGATAATTCCCATCTTCCAATGCAAATCCCCCCTGCTAATGTTCCTAGTCATCTCTCTCTTCCTCTTTCTCTCTCTTTGTTCTCTGTGGTCTTCCCAACCTTCCTTAGTTATTCTGCCTTTCAGCTAAATGAGGGTCTCAGCATTTGCACCTTTTAAGCAACTACACAGTACTTTGGGGTTTTTTTTTAACCTGAGAGTTTATCTTTTATGCTTCCAAGCATGAGACTGATATGAAAACTCATAGCTGTCCCAGGCTTTTAGTGGGTGAAAATGTGTTCACACAAATGGATGCTAATGGAGCAGTCCCATTTCTTAAGATGGTTTCTTCAGAAATACGAGCACGATAGTTGTTCTTTCCAGCATTTTTGCAATACCTCCAAACTGGAAACAATCTAAATGTCCATCAACAGGAAAATGGTTAAATAAGTGGCGGTACATCAATATTACGGAATAACAGGCAGCTATTAAAAGGAGTGAAACATATAACAAATTAGTGAATATAGCAAAAAAGAAGCAAACTCAGATACAGACAACATGTTAGTGGTTACAGGGCAGAGGGCAATGTAGGGGTGGGGAGTGGGAGGTACAAACTATTGAGTGTAAGACAGGCTCAAGGATGTATTGTACAACATGGGGGAATATAGCTAATATTTTATAATAACTATAAATGGACAGTAACCTTTAATAATTGTATTAAATTTTTTTAAAGAAGAGTGAAACAAACTAGATGCCAACATGATGATACATGTATAATATATGGTAAAATAGAGGAAAAAGCTATCTAGAATATGTAGAATATATAGTGGAGCAGTGTACCTAGTACAGGCTTATTTCTGTAAACACAGCTAGCTTTATCCTCTCCCCGGAATGATCTTTTCCTGGATCTTCACCTTTCTAGCTTGCTGTCACTCAGCTCAGATGTTGGGTCCTCAGCTCAGAGACCTCTCCTAGCCTCCTGAACCCTCCACCAACCCACATCACTCTCTACCATCTTACCCCCTTTTATTTTTTTTCGCAGTATTTACCACAACCTGAAATTTTTATTCATTCCCAGGCTTACTGCCCATCTCCTACTAGAAAATTAATTCCATCAGTCTGTCTTCTTCACCATTGCCGTTTCCCATCCCCTACAACATTGCCTGGCTAAGTGCTCAAGAAACATTCAGGAGAGAGGGAAACATGTGTATCTCTCTGCATGTTATAAAGCTTTAAAAAGTGCAGACAGTTACATATTAAACAATTAATGGAAGATATATCTGTAGGGTAGGATTGCATGTGGGGAGGACAGCAGCTGGGAGAAGAAGAAAATTATAATTTTTTACTTGCATTTTTATGTTTGGATTTTCCTACAACCAGAAGATTGGTTTAAACATTTTTTTATTGAGATGAAATTCACATAACATAAAATTGACCATTTTATTTTTTAATTTGCTTTAATGTTTAAATTTTTTATATTGCAGTATAGTTGCTTTACAATGTTTTGTTAGTTTCTGGTGTACAGCATAGTGATTCAGTTGTACATATATATATATTCTTTTTCGTATTCTTTTTCATTATAGCCTATTACGAGCTATAGAATATAGTTCCCTGTGCTACTCAGTAGGACCTTGTTGTTTATTCTGCATGTAGTAGTTTGTATCTGCTAATCCCAAACTCCCAATTTATCCCTCCCCCTCCCTTTCCATTTTGGTAATCAGAAGTTTGTTTTCTATGTCTGTGAGTCAATTTCTATTTTGTAAATAAATTGTTTGTGTAATTTTTTTAGAATCCGCATACAAGTGATATCATATGATATTTGTCTTTCTCTGTCAGACTTACTTCACTTAGTATGATTATCTCTAAGTCCATCCATGTTGCTGCAAATGGGATTATTTCATTTTTTATGGCTGAGTAGTATTCTACTATATAATATATAATATACAATTATTATATATTATGTAATATGTATTATAATAATATATATTACACACACACACACACCCCACATCTTCTTTATCCAATTATCTGTCAATAGACATTTTGGTTGTTTCCATGTCTTGGCTACTGCAAATAGTGCTGCTATGAACATTGGAATACATGTATCTTTTCAATTTGGAGTTTTCTCTGGATGTATGCCCAGGAGTGGGATTGCTGAATCATATGGAAAATTGACCATTTTAAAGTGAACAAATAAGTGGTATTAATGCATTTACAATGTTGTGCAGCCACCACCTCTATCTTGTTGCAAAACATTTTCATCATGGCATAAGGAAACCCATAACTGTTGTGGGAATGATTCCCATGGGAATATGCCCCCCCCCTTTTTTTTTAGAGAAAGTACTGGGGATTGAACCCAGGACCTCATGAATGTTAAGCATCCGCTCTACCACTTGAGCTATACCCTCCTCTGGGAATATACCCCTTTTGAAAACCTACAATCTCCTTTTAATCTCTAGGCTTTAGCTAGTCTGGTCATTTCACATAAATGGAATCATACAATATATAACCTTTTGTGTCTGGCTTCTCTCACTCAGGATAAAGTTTTCAAAGTTCATCCGTGTTGTAGTATATGTTGGTACTTCGTTCCTGTTTATGGCAGAGTGATATTCCATTGTATGGATGTACCACTTCTTGTTTATCCATTAATTCATTGATGAACAAATTGCTCTTATAACTTAAAGACATTTAAAATAAAAGAAAGTTTAAACAAGTGAAGTCCCAGTAAGGTGCGGAGTCTACTTAATTGTATAGTGGCAATGCCAATTTCCTGGTTTTGATAGTGTACTATGTAGTTATGTAAGAAGTTACCATTGGGGAAAGCTGGGTAATGGGTACATGGGACCTCTTGTAGTATTTTTGCAAATTCTTATGAGCCTATAATTGCTTCAAAATAAAAAGTTAAAAGGTTAAAAACTCTCACACTAGTAAAAAGCCATGTTTTCTGAAACTCTTAGAGTCCACAGATTTTAGCCTCAGATCCCAAGTCTTTACCAAAACATTGTTTTTTCTGCCTTCCTTAACTGAACTTCTTTGGGGGTGCAGAGTATAGCTTAAGTGGTAGAGCACATGCTTAGCATGCATGAGGTCCTGAATTCAATCCTCAGTACGTCCTCTAAGAATAAACAAACAAACAAACAAACCTAATTACCTCCCCCCACCAAATAAATAAGTAAAAGGACATGCATTAAAAAACTCATTTAAAAAAAACTTGTTTGGGCCAAGGGTAGCATCGGGGCGGGGGATTTTTTTTCACCTTTGAGGATTTTATAACATAAAATATACAAGGAATCACAAACCCTCATATATTGCAAAGATTGTCAATTGTTAACATCTCATGTTGTTTCATGTTTTAAGATCAGAAATAGAACAATTTCAGTGTATTTGCCACCTCTTTTATCCCCATTCCTATTCTACTTTATCCCCTCAAAAAAGGCAGCCACTATTATGTATTTAATATGATCCATCTAATCTATTTAAAGACATATTTATGTACATATACCAGACTAATCAATGAAAGATACATTGTATTATTTCAAAATGTACATATAATATACAAAACCTGTCTTTCACTTCACATATTTATCTTTGAACTTCTATAGAGTAACTCCATCTATGTTAATACATCTTTTTAAAAAATTTTACCCATTTCCCTACTGAGAGACTTTTAGGTTATTTCCAACTTTTTGTTATACTGATAGTACTTGCACAAGTGTCAGGATCCTTTCAGAAGCAAGTTACAGAAATTTCAATTCAAACTAGATTTGACCATAAGGAATGTATTATCTTACATAATTATAAACCCTAAGATAGGACTGACTTGTTAGCCCATTGGTTCAATAGCTGAATGACATCATCAGTGACCTACATCTTTCCATCTGTCTGCTGCCCTGGATGTTGGCTTGATCCTTGGGCTGGTCCTGAGATGGCTGCAGGGTTCCAGATGAGAGAAAGAG